ACACACCCAGACACACACACACACACACAATGTAATTAAGTAAATAACTTTTACAATCCTACAATGCTTGTGTTGACATGGAAATTAATAGCTTTAGAGTTTTAAATGGTGTCTTTTTAAAAGAAAAAATGTAATAAATAAGGGTCTCTTTCTATATTCTAGGACTTACCACTTATTATTTGCAAACATATACATACATTCAGTCATAATTTAAGAGCAGTACCAGGACAACAAGCTCAGGCATAATCAACATTTTCATGGTGGTCAGTCAGGAGGATATAGTAAGAACCTGTCTCAAAATGAAATCCTGAAACAGAATCCCCTCAAATGTTTACATTGGACATGGCAGCACATACCTGTAATCCCAGCAGCTGTGATGTGTTGGAAGCAGATCTGGAGTTCAAGGTCAACTTTGACTACATAGTGACATAGGGACCACCCTGGGCTCCATCAGAAAATCTCAAAACAAAATAGCACAAAATTCTCAGTTCACTTAGAGGAACATACATCAAGGTTCCAGCAACTACACAGGGCAAACTAGATAGAGAGTCCCGAGAAAGGTGTTTCCTTTAGTATAACAAACATGATTCATATATAATGGCATTTGATTATACTTCAGTGGCATATCTAGATATTTGTTAATGCATTTCCAAGGTGTGTTACAGTAGTGTTATCTTCTCCCAAGTATCAAAAGTGCTTTCAGAAAACTACCTGGAATATTCATCTTCACCTGATGTTTTTGTCACTGTTGTACCTTCACTGTTCTGATTCCTTTTCAGGAAGACCCACAACACTCCTGGAGATAATGGGGAAGGCAGATATATGGCTCATTCGAACCTACTGGGATTTGGAATTTCCTCACCCTGTGTTACCAAATTTTGATTTTGTTGGAGGACTGCATTGCAGACCTGCCAAGCCTCTGCCTAAGGTAGATATATTCCTGTTTGCTTGCTTCTCTTTGCCTTGCACATTTGGCAGGAGTGATACATTTCATTCCCTCAGAATGTTTGTGTCAAACTTAAGAGCATCACAAGAAATTAAGAAACTGGCCAGTAGAAACAAGAGTCTGAATTTCCTTTATTGAGCTCTATGGGACATCTGAGGATAGGGGCAGTTAGAGCACTACTCAGCACAGAGAAAATCTCAATAATTCATGCAGAACATACAGACAAGTGACAGGGACACTCCACAGGAAAGTGCTGAGTATACAGAGACACAGAGTGTGCACAGACTTACCCAGAAACACCAGCAATTCTACTTCAAAGACAAACTGTGAGCAAGCAACAAAACTATGGAAATGTTACACTGAGGAAAGGCCAAGTGGCCTGGCAGTAAAAGTAAAGAGGAGAGATGGAACACACACAGGGAAATAGTTTTGCTTAGTAAAGAAAACTCAGTATGTCTCTGATCACTAAAATCTGCCCTTAGTTAATGATTGTAAATTAATTGTGTAAGCTCATAGGATGATATCACTTTGAAGGGTCAGAGGAATGCTTTGTGATTTTAGCTAATATAATACTTCATGATGCAAGAAAACTGAAAGGTTTTTTCTGCTCTAGAAAGAATTGTCCCTGGAGACCCCTCCTTTAGTTGTGCAATGACAGCAACATACAATCTGATATTATGCCCAAGACTACATGTCTGTTTCCAAAGCTACTTGAGATGTCTGAGAAGTAACTGAGAAGTCTGAAAGCTGAGGGAAGATTCCTAAGTTCTGTGCAGGCCAGTGCTGTTTACAGGAGCTGTGTTCAGGAATATTATTTTGACAGGACGAAGGTGTGTTACATTTGTTTGTGCTGCAGAATGGTACTTTAGCTATGTAGAGCTGTGCTTCTTTTGTTTATGCTGCATTTGTTTTGTGTTGCATTCGTTTCACCTTACCTGCCTAAGGCACCTGATTGGTGTAAAAAAAAGAGCTGTACAGCCAGTAACTAGGCAGAGAAAGGATACGCAGAGCGGTCAGGCAGAGAGAATAAAGAGGAGGAGAAATGTAGGCTTGAGAAGAAAGGGAGGAGGCAGAAGCCAGGCAGCCTTCAGCCAGTGAAACCTAGAGAAAGCAAGAAAGTAAGAAAAGGTAAAAAGACCAGAGATAAAAGGTAGATAAAGAGAAACAGGTTAATTTAAGTTAAAAAAGCTAGCCAGAAATATGCCTAAACTAGGCAAGCATTCAAAACTAGTAAGTCTGTGTGTTATGATTTGGGAGCTGGTTAGCGGCCCTAAAGAAAAAGCCTGGTACAAAGATTTTGTCTTAACATTAAGGGAATGTCAATACCAACATTTTGGTTGGTATTTGGAGGGGGGTAGAGGGAACACTTAAAGAGTGTGCTCAGGTGAGGTTCAGTGCTGGAGAGCTGGCCCCACATGGCCAGTGCAGCAGAAAGGAAGAAAGAAGGAAGCAGAGGTAGAAACATGTTTACTCATGATAATTAGGAATAGTATAAACTGTACGGAAATTATAGGAAATAGTTTTCAGTCTTAAAATGTTTCAACAGTTTTGATCCTTTGGATGGGAATTATCCCTCCAATGTTCTTTCTTCCTCTCAGTAGACACTAAAATTTAATGTGCATTTGAAAGTATATATTTGACAAAATACATCAAGGATACAAATTGCAGGCCTTCTAGGTGGCTGGGGCTTTAAAGGCACTTGGAAGAAAGCCTGTGAATCTGAGCTAGATCCTGGGGCCTAAATGGTAAAAAGAGAGAGTTAAGTCTCAAAATTGTCTTCAGATCTCATACACAAAATAATAAACTTAATGAATTAATTAAATTATACCAATGAAAATCATTTAAAATGCACATTTTAAAACATTTTGTGAAGCCAAGTGGTGTTGTCATATACCTTTACTACCAGCACTTGGGAGGCAGAGGCAGGAGGATCTCTGTGGGTTTGAGACCAGCCTGGTCTACAGAGTGAGATCCAGGACAGGGCTATGCAAATAAAACCTGTCTCAAAAAGCAAAACAAAACAAAGAAACAACAAATAAAAACATTTTTGTATATTCCAAAGTTGGTAAGAGACAGGATTTTAAGAATTCCCAAACTAAAACTCTGAGTAATATATAGTTGGGTGAATGTACTATTTACCTTGATTTAAGTGTGAATAAAAAAAATCATTGGCATTTGTTTCACAATACACTCATAGGAAACTATACATAAAAATAAGTATATTTAATTATTATTCATAACAATTATTCATAAAAGAAACAATAAAAAGAATTTCAGCAAGCAGGTGTTAGTTATAAATGTATACTGTGTGCACATTACAATTATTGTATCAGAATTCTTAAGTATCTAGTCAAGCATAGCACAGGTGTGCTTAGAAAATGTAAGGGGGTAGATGCAAATTTGACATTGTACTTTCTTTTAGGACTAAAGATTTAGATAACAGGATTTTCTTCCTAAACATATATATCATATTGTGGTTTTATTTGTGTGTGTGTGTCTGTATTACACAAATAGAATAAAAATAAATTAATTGCTGTGTGTGCTTGCTGGGATTGGACCCAAGGTCTTGTGCACACTAAGCTCGCAGTAAATCATTGAATGATATACCTAGACTAAAACCATACATTTTGTTAAAGCAGACATAGTATTGCATGGCAAGTATGAGTAAATTTTAATTTTATTCCTACACTTTTCTCTAATGGGCATTTTTATTATTCCTTTTATTTTTTGAGATTAAAGTTACATCATTTCCCCCTTCCCTTCCTCCCATATACCCCTTTTTGCTTTCTTCAAATTCATAGCCTCCTTTTCATTAAATGTTGTTATATACATATTAGTGTGTGCTCACATATGTAAACACATAAATACAACCTGTTTAGTCTGTATGAATGTTTTCAGGGTTGACCATTTGGACAAGAAGCTATGAAATGAAAATAGTCTATCTCATTAATGGCAGTTTGAAACAGGAATTGTTCTAAGAGTACAGAGCAAAGTTCCTACTGCATAGATAAGGAGGCTTCAAAAGAACATCAGCAACTTAGAACACTGAATGAAGCTGCTTCGGGTAAAAGAGTGTCCCACACATACATCTGAGTTATAGGGATGCTGCATTCCTCAGGACACTGGGAGGTCCAGCTAGAAACTATGCCTTTGGAAAAATGCTATGAACAATGTCTGACAGTGAGAAATTTTTCATTTTTTTTATGTTTGTATGTTTCTTTGAAACATAGTTTCTCTGTATAACACCCATGACTGTCCTGGAACTCACTCCATAGACCAGGCTGCCCTCAAACTCAGAGAGATGCACCTGACTCTGTTTCCCAAGTGCTGGGATTAAAGGTGTGTGCCACTGTGTTTGGCATCATTTTCATTTGTGTAAAGAAAGATTTATTTCTGAAAGAAAGATTAGATTATGTGGTAGTTTGAATGTAATTGGCTCCCATAAGCTCAGAGGGAATGGCACTATTGGGAGGTATCACTTTGTTGGAGTAGGTATGGCCTTGCTGGAAGAAGTGTGGCACCATGGAGGCGGGCTTTGAAGTCTCATATATGCTCAAGCCATGCCCAGAATCTCAGTTCACTTCCTGTTGCCTGTAGATAAAGATGTAGAACTCTCAGCTCCTTCTCCAGCACCATGCCTGCCTTCAGGCCACCATGCTTCCTTCCCACCATGATGATGATGGACTAAACTTCTAAACTGTAAATGACCCAATTAAATGGTATCTTTTATAAGAGCTGCCATGGCCATCATGTCTCTTCACAGCAATAGAAGCCCTAACTAAGAAAGAACAATTAGAAGGAGAAATATTCTTTTTAGGAATGGTAAGTTGTACCCATTGTTGTATTAAAGGAAAAGGGAAGACAGTACCTTGAAAACAAGTTCTAAAAGTGAATATGTGCTTGTAGCAAGATTTCTGGGACAATTTTGGCAATGCATTTGATTTTGTTGTAGAAAAGCTCACTGAATGATATACCTAGACTAAAACCATACATTTTGTTAAAGTGGAATCTGTAAGGAAAGAGCTAAGGAGTCACATGCTAGAATGACATTCAGAGAATTCTTGACAAACACCCCATGGGAAAAGTAAGGGACAGAGTAAGGGAATAGTTCCCAATGTAGAGGCAGGGAACAACTAAGACTTCTACTGAACAGGTTCTTTTTCATCCAAGAACCTACAAATATAACAAAGATTCTGCCCGTCCACTAAAACTGAGATATCTAGGGAACTGGCATCCTTTTTGCCCCTGAGTTCTAATTAAACTTAAAGAAGATGGTTAGGTCACTAAAAAACAATACCCAGGATCACTAGCATCAGTAGATGTTTTAATTCAATACTTATTAGCCAGTCAGTCATGAGTGAAAAACATGGTTTGACAAATGCCCATGAATGAAGAGTCCAGAGCTTCGGGACACCAAAGATGAATCTGTTGCATTCTGCAGTAGAGCACCATAACTGTTATGGGAAAAAAGTCATTCAAGATATTTACTATCAGATATCCTCAAGGAAGGACTATGCAGGAAAAGGGAAATATGTGCAGGACAATCAGGACTAATGTCAGCATCTGGGTCACATTAATTCAATAAGATTCTGTAAGAGCAGTGGCTCTCAAACTTCCTAATGCTGTAACCCTTTAATACAGTTCCTCATGTTGCGATGACCCCTAACCAAAAAATCATTTTTGTTGCTACTTCATAACTGTAATTTTACTGCTGTTTATAAAGCTGTAGTGAAATGATTTTGGAGATAAAGATTTGCCGAAGGGGTCATAACCCACAGATGGAGAACCACCATGTTAGAGTGCAGCTTCTGAAATCTGAGTGCACATGAAATCCCCTGATGAGATCAGGAACTGTTGGTAGCTGCTGGGAGAGGGAAAGTCAGTTCTCTCTAATGGCATGATGCATGGTAGGGTGTCCACATACCAGTGTAGGCCCATCCCCAAGACTAGATGGGGAAAGTAGAATCAATGGGGAAAGATGAAAGAGAAAAAAGGAAAATTTCTCAAAGTAAAATACATTGAATGAAATTCTTTAATAATAAATAAAATATTGCTAAAAATTGACTATGCCAAAAAAATACACAAACACAAAATACAAAGAGATGAACCAAAAGCCAAGTTCTGAACAATGAGCTGAGATAAGACTAATATAATTTGCGTCTCGGGATTTCTATTGCTGTGACTAGAAACCATGACCCTGGCAACTCTTATTAGGGAAAGCATTTAATTGGGGCTGGATTATAGTTTAGAGGTTTGATCCATTATCATTATGGCAGGAAGCAGGGACTCATGCTGCAGACATAGTGCTGGAGAAAGAGCTGACAGGTCTACGTCGGGCAGCATGAACAGAGGGTGACACTGAGCCTGGCTTGAGCATCTGAATCCTCAAAACCCATCTCCACTGACACATTTCCTCCAACAGGGCCACACCTACTCCAACACAGCCATAGCTCCTAAAAGTACCACTCCTTATGGGCCAGCGGGGCCATTTTCATTCAAACCACTACAGTCTGGCCAGGAAAAACATTTTGTGAGGTATACAGTTGCTTTCTCTGCTTTTTTTTTTAATGAAACACACAAGAATAAGAACCTTCTTGTCAACAAACACATTTCTACATACATATACACATATGCTTGCACATGTATGTACAATAAAAGAGAGTGATCTCAAATAGGAAATATTTTTCTAACAAAACTAACAACAAAAAAAAACATGCTACTGAAAAGAAAATGGAGTTTTCTGTGAATTAGAAATGGATTTCTGCATCATGGATTCCACTCCTGGATGTGCAAGTAACAGAAGGATCTCAAGAACATATCTGTGGAAGGATAATTATAGGCGTAGCAGCAATCTAAGAACAAATAAATAGGTTTTTGGTAAGCAATACATAGTATACCAATACAAAAACATATAACTAAGCCCTTAAAATCCATGGAATAAGGACACACGATGACTTATAAGAATCATAATGAAATCACACCAGGTTAAATAAATATAAGAATATCATAGAGATCATGACACATACTATGTTCTAGTCAAAATCAGGGAAGCATAAAGGAAAGTTACAGTAAACTAGAGGCTGGAAAGGGAAATGAGAATTTTGGACTTAATTACTTCAAATTATGTTTTTCAAGATGAAAATGAAAAAAAGAAACGATGACTGTGTTCCAAGGCTGTTTCTGTGAGCACATACATACATGTAACAGAGAACTGTAACCATCCAATTGGCTGCAACTGTACATCTTATATGTGGGTGTGAACAGTTTTAAAGCACCCACTCCTCTAACATTTCTAATGCTGCTCCGTGTCTTCCTGTGGAGGGTGGTGTCAGTTTTTATGCAGGAGGTTTGGTGTTGCTGCTCTTTGTGATGGGCTGATATTTCATTTACAGGAAATAGAGGACTTTGTCCAGTCTTCTGGAGAACATGGTGTTGTGGTGTTTTCCCTGGGATCCATGGTGGGTAACCTAACAGAAGAAAGGGCCAATGTGATTGCAGCAGGCCTCGCCCAGATTCCACAGAAGGTGAGATACAGTGCCTCACTGTTTCATCCTCACTAAGATGGTTACATCCTGTTCAGGTGTGACTGCAGAGACCACCTGTGTGACACTGAAGCTGTGGTGATTCCTCTAGATCATCTCCGAAGTCATCTGTGACACAGAAATATGGGGGACAGGTGCCAAATAGTGGGTGGTGTTTTTGATTAATAACTTTGTTATTAATATTGTGTTTAGAAAGAAAAACACTTAAGTGTTTCTGCACTTGGTATTAGAAAGGCATTATAGGCAGATAACAGAATCTGCCTTGTTATTTCCTCCATTTTCCTCGAGGAAACTGGGGACTCTACACATAGTACAGTGTAATCAGACTGCTATTAAATTGTAACCAGTAACAACCAGTAGCAATAAGCAGAAAATTGGCAGTGGTAGGAGAAGAGAGGAGGAACATTCTTGAAGGGCATGTGTTGCTCACACAGAAGACCTGAGCTTACTTCTGAGCCTCCCTGTCTGGCAGCTCCACAACTGCCTGTAACTGCATCCCATGGGATCCAAATCACTCTCTGGCCTCAGATGACAGCCACAAATATTTCCCATACATATGAACACACACACACACACACACACACACACACACATGCACGCAAACACTAACTTACACATAAATGAAAATAAGTCCTATTTTTAAAATGCAATTTGTACTATTCTGGATTGTTCACTTTCCCTTCATCTCATGGGTTCTCAACCTTCCTAATGTTTTAATAGAGTTACTCGTGCTCTGGTGACCCCAACCATAAAATTATTTTTGTTGCTACTCCATAGCTATAATTTTGCTACTGTTATGAATTGTAATGTAAATACCTGATTTTTCTGATGGTCTTAGGGAATCTCTGTGAAAGGGTCATTTGATCCCCAAAGGGGTGTTTCAGATTATTGTAAGAACAGAGAGAAATTTCGGGTACAGATTTAGATAGGAGGGGAGATAAGGAGTTGTGGGAGAAGAAACCGTGAGTAGAATATATTTCATAGAAAAAAATCTCCTTTAAATAAAAGAAAAATAGCCAGGCGTTGGTGCCGCATGCATTTAATCCCAGCACTCGGGAGGCAGAGGCAGGTGGATCTCTGTGAGTTGGAGACCAGCCTGGTCTACAAGAGCTAGTTCCTCCAAAGCCACAGAGAAAACCTGTCTCAAAAAAAAAACACACAAATAAAAGAAAAATATAAAATATAAGTTTAATAACTTAGAGTTGGAGTTGTAGTCTTAAATTTGTATTCTTGGCCAAATGAGATCACAAACATTGTAATATAGGCCTATGCACAGTACTATTTACCCTGCTATTCCAAAAGAAAAAGACAGGATTTGCCAGCCTCAGTTCCAGCTGTGGAGACTGACCTGTTAATTCTGAACAAGAGATAACTTGGGAACTTGCTCTGTACTTAGACAGTGTCACACTTCAAGAGTCTAATCTAATAAAATACCTATATAGAAGGGATTATAAGTGAACTAATTCAAATACCATGGGCAAATAGTTGTAGTGAATTTGGAAAATTAAAAACTGCTATAAATATGTATTGGAAAAACAAAACCAGGTATATAGTAGTAACTTTGATGGATTATTGATCTAGAATTACATTCACACATTTCTTAACTCCTGATTGACATCACTGAGCTTAACTTTGCCTAAGTTGCTGTTGACTAAATGTGAGGTGACATGCTGAAACTTGAACAAGCATGAGAACAAAAGCAGGAGAGTGAAAGGCACCTGCATCCTGACTGTGGTACTCTTCATGGTTCCCATCATCCATCCACACTGCCTGGCTCTTAGAGACTGGGCATTTATCTCCATTGTTTCTTAATCTAGCCAGAATTCTAACAGGAGTAACTTGATATTTGACCAAAGTAATAGAGGCTAGCTTCATTTTAACAGGTTCTTTGGCGATTTGAAGGCAAGAAGCCAGACACCTTGGGCTCCAACACTCAGCTGTACAAATGGATCCCCCAGAATGACCTTCTTGGTAAGCATCAGGAGACCCCTGAGACATGAGGAATGGCTGCTCAGGAAGGTGAATGTCAGCACTGATGCATTTATGACAACAGTGATCTAGTCCTGGAGATAATGAAGAACTGTTATGAATATGCTATACAGTGACAGTCGAGATAGGAGAATCCATTTCTATCTCCGCTATAATTACTGTTCAAAAACATTTAAGTCAATCTTTCTTTGCACCTCCTATTTCTGTAACTTACATCTACTATTTCCCCTACTGTAGGGCAATTATAAATGACAATGGGAATGATATTCTTTCATTAATGACTCTTCATTTACTATGCTCCCCGACAGACCCCACATCATCAGATGGTACTACATATGATGAAGTGTCCTCAGTCTGATTCCATCAAAATGAACCCTCAACCCCTATTGTGTGGAGCCAACCCATCCAAAGCATTAGCTTCACTATTTCTTTAGGAGAACATACTCTCCTGAACCCACTGCCTGTCCTCCCTTTTGGAGAAGCGCTTCCCTTTTTGCACATTTCACAAAATCATTCTACTTCCACACTCCACCTGCCCTATGTGACCTTGAGTCATCCTTTGGGGACTTGGAATACTCCTTCTTCTAAGTCATAAGGGCATTCAGTGCACTCCCATGGTTATGGTTATGATAATGTTGTCTAGAGAGTATTGGCCCTTTACGTGCTTTTTTCCCTGCCTCTCATTTTCTTCCTCAGACATAAGACTAATAGTTGCCTTTAATCTCTCCCCTTACTAGGTCATCCTAAAACCAAAGCTTTTATAACTCATGGTGGCACCAATGGCATCTATGAGGCGATCTACCACGGGGTCCCTGTGGTTGGCATTCCTTTGTTTACAGACCAATTTGATAATGTTGTTCACATGAAGACCAAAGGAGCGGGTATGAGACTGGACTTTCTCACAATGTCCAGTACAGATTTGTTCAATGCAGTGAAGACAGTCACAACTGACCCTTCGTAAGTACAGTGACCGTTTAATTTGTAGTGTTCCAGATAAATTTCCTCAACAATAACTGTTGATTTTACCTAATATTTATCCTAATTTTGAAGAAAATTACTGTTACCCACTGTTGAATGAACTTTTACTGTCAACCAAGACTGCAAACTTTCCCTGGGGACTTCTGTAAAAGAACTTAGTTTAGAATAATTTGCCACTGGAAACCTTTTTCTCTTGCTAAATTAAAGGACACAATTTTCAAAAATCTGATCAAATCAAAAAACAGGATAGTAAATCTGAAAGATAGAAAATGTATTAGTTCAAAGCCCAAGGTTTCTGAAACTCCTGTTAAACTATTCACTTATTAAAGAGTAGATAATTACACATACATACATGCATACTTACAAACATACATCAGAGAATATGTAAAGCAAAATCAGGATACTCACATTTCCATCTCCTTAAAATTGTATTATTTCATTTGTCACAGTGTTGCTCTTTCACTTCTTATTAGACATGTAAATTGTGAGTCACAGTCACTGCCTCTACTGTAGTGCACTATCCTGCTATCCAGTAGCAGGATTTATCTGTTAGCTGACCTGTCTCTAACCCCTTCCCTCCTTTCCTTCCTGGACTCCAGTTACCACTGTGCTACCCTCTCTTCTATGAAATCAGCTCTGGTAGTTTCCTCACAGTAGTGAGAATGTGCAGTATTTTCCTTTAGGGTCTGGTTTGTATGATTTAATAAAATATCCTCCAACTGTATATTGTTAGTGCAAATTTCCTTCTTTGCAATGGCTGAATAACATTATATAATATTATTATATTTTATTATTTTTTAATATAACAATAAAGAACATATTCAGTGTTTTCATACCCCTTTTTTATCCATTGTCACACAATGGGCACCTCAGTCAATTCACTTGGCTATTATAGCTAGTGCTGCAATAGCCATGGGCTTCCAGGTGTCTCTTTGATATATTGCTGAATGTTTCTTTTAATAGACTCATAGTGGTAGAAAAATTCAAGTTCAACCTGGGGCATTTCTGTTTTCAGTATATTCAGGAATGCATTGAGGTTTTTCATAGGATCCATGCAATATTACACTCTAACCAATCTCAATAAGATTTCCACTTTCTGGCATCAGCAGATGGGTGAGTGGGTAAAGGTTCTTTCCACCAGTCCTAACAGCTTGAGTTCCATCCCTGGAATTCATATGGTGGAGGAGTGTTCATGCATGCACATGTGGACACACACACACCACATACAGATGTATTTTTTAATTATACTTTCTCTGCATGCCGAGCAGGCAATATTTGGGTTTTGTGTTTGGATGTTTATGTGTTTGCAGTACTAGGGTTGAATTCAGGCCATCAGGTATTCTAGGCAAGCTATCAATTACACCCTAGTACTTATATCATCCTTTGAAAAACATGTATCTTTCTCTTCATTTATCTGTTTTTAATCAGTGGCACAATCAGTCCTCAAAAGCATCAACATGATCGATTACTCAGCATTCAACTATCTCACTTACCGTGGTTGGAATGGCTTAATAACAACCATATCCTGAAAAGATTTACTTCTCCAAATAATTTTCCATTTCATTTTTCCCCTTTTTTTCCTTTTCATTTTTGAAAAGCACTTCTCAGAGAATACCAGTTTACAGGCGAACTTTCAAACATGCCCCTTCCCAAGCCATACCCCTCCTACTGTTCTTCTATGACATGATTTGGTCTCATTATGCTTTCTCTGACCTTTCATAGGCCTGATGCTCTTCAGTGAATTGATTGACATTTAATGTTGATGTTTTTGTGCTTCTCCTTTACATTTATCTTTAGCTATAAGGAGAACGCCATGCGGCTATCAAGAATTCACCATGATCAGCCAGTGAAGCCCCTGGACAGAGCTGTCTTCTGGGTTGAGTATGTCATGCGCAATAAAGGAGCCAAGCACCTTCGTGTGGCAGCACATGACCTCACCTGGTTCCAGTACCACTCTCTGGATGTGCTTGGATTCCTGCTTGCCTGTGTGGTGACTGTGATCTTCATCATCACAAAGTGCTGTCTCTTTTGTTGTCAGAAGTTTGCTAAAGGTGGAAAGAAGAAGAAAAGGGAGTAACTGAAGTGGGGAGGACAGACACATGGACCTCCTCCAGTGCATCACAGCAAGGGAAGGCTGGGTTGGAACATTCCTTCATCCTGTGACAAGACACCTTTTCTCTCCTTGACTCATCAAATCATAGTATTATTTACAAAGTTTTAATACTTGATTATATTTTAGAAATATTTTTGGCCACAGTGCAAGACAGTAGGAAAAAGTAAAGATCAAACAAACTGTATTAGTTCCTCTTAAAATATACTTCTGTGGTGTTGGAGAGATGGCTCCATGCTGTGAAGAGCACTTGTTGTCCTTGAGGAATATCTGAATTTTATCTCTAAGACCATCAGTAACTCCAAAGTATCTGATGCCCTCTTCTGACTCCTTCAGGAACTGCATGCACACTATGTACATATATTCAAGCAGGCAAGAACACTCAGCCACATAAAAATAAACAAATCTTAAAAGAACTGCTGTAAGTTACATGTTACATTGCCATAATTTACCAGGCTTAATTCCAGTTCATAAGTCAATGATGGGCATAAGAACAGCTACAAGATAAACAAACCCTTATCCAAACTAAAAAACAGAGAGAGAATATCCAGATTAACAAAACCAGAAGGAAAAAAGGGGGACATAACAACAGACACTGAGGGAAATTCAGACACTCATAAGGACATACTTTAAAAATCCATACTCCACAAAATTGGAAAATCTAAAAGAAATGGATCATTTTCTCAATAGGTACCACTTACCAAAGTTAAATCAAGATCAGATAAACAATTTAAATAAACCTATAATACATTGTGAAGCCCGGCGTTGGTGGTGCAAGCCTTTAATCCCAGCACTCGGGAGGCAGAGGTAGGTGAATCTCTGTGAGTTCGAGGCCAGCCTGGTCTACAGAGTGAGTGCCAGGATAGGCTCCAAAGCTACACAGAGAAACTCAGTCTCGAAAAATCAAAAAAAAAAAAAAAAAAAAAAAAAAAAAAAAAAAAAACCTAGTGAAATACAACCACTCACTAAGCCTGCCAACCAAAAAAAGCCCTCTAATTCATTATTTTGAGATTTTTGTATCATCTCAAAAAATATTACTTGAATTAAAAAAGATCATAGATACGTTAATAGGTTTAACTTCAGTAAACATTTTACTATGTACATACACACCTTAAATAATAGCAATTTAATGATTTATTTACTGAGTCAGCAAGGGATGTAATGTTAAAAAACCCTACAATTTAGTATTGTAACAGAAACCACAAATAAAAGAATGAAAAACTTAATAAATCACATAGGAAAAAGAAGTAAATCACATAGATTTACTTAAGAATAAAAATACATTAAAAATTAGAAATATCTATGATTTACCTGGGTGACCAAGGCAACTATTAGGAGAAAGCTTAATGGGGCCTTGCTTACAGTTTTAGAGCTTTTGTCCATTATCATCATGATGGGGACCATGATAGCATGCAGGCAAATGCTGGAGCTATGACCTGATACAGAGGCAGAAACACTGAACCTGGCTGGGCTTTTGAAACCTCAAAGCCCAACCCCAGCGACACAGGTCTTCAAACAAGTCCACACCTACCCTAACAAGTCCACTTCTCCTAAGCCTTCTAATCCTTTCAAAGAGTGCTACCCTGGTGATTAAGCAATCAAATATACAAGCCCATAGGGGACATTCCTATTCAAACCACCACAGTGACTATTCTTGGTGTTATTTCCTACACAGTTAAGAGATAGAAAACGGTGGATTAGACACACACAGCATATTCCTGCAGCTTCACAAAACAAGTCAGTGAGCTAACATTCGATGTCCACTTTAGAATTCAGAAGTCAACAGGATAGCAACATATTCAGCCTGAAATTCATCAGGATACATAACAATTCTAAACCAAATGTGAGATATATTCATTTTGTTAATGCTACTTTACAGAAACATGAAATCATCCTCTCCTTGTCTATGCAAAGGGTACTACTTGGGACAAAATGGGATCAAACCAAAGCATTCCAGCCTTCTCACCATAGCCCAAACAGCAGAGACATGTTGGACAAGACACAACATGGGGTATTTCATATGAAGAAATTACTTTAAATCTACTTCAGTTCTTGTATGTGCTATAAGATATTGCATAATCGTGTTTATACCTTTCAGATAAAATCATACTGGGTGACTTTTTAAAATTACAGTATGACATCATTTTCTCTCAATTTCTTCTTCCAATCCTTCTCATTTACCCCACACTGCCTCTAAAAATCATGGCCTTTTGTGTCTTTTGTTATGATCTCATACACACACACACACTTAAATACATAAATAGAATTTGCTCAGTCTGTTTGGTCACATATATATATATATATATATATATATATGAGCTCAGACCATTGGATAACCAATTGGGGGGTTATCACTAGGGATGTGATATTTTATGATTTATTAAAACTTGTCTGAGGGTACAGACAGCAAAGCTAGCCACAATGTTGATACACCTTTAATCCCAGCAGTCATACTAGCTAGTCATAAAGCCAGGCAGTGGTGGCACACACCTTTAATCCTATGCCTCAAGAGACAAGCATATGGGTCTGTTAGTTCAAAGCCACACTGAGTTAAAGAGAAACAACTCACACAAAGGTGATCTGGAACTTGTGATCACATGCCTTTAATCCCAGCACTAGGGAGGTATAAGAGGAGGAGCCAAAGGGTCTCATGAGAGAATTGTTCTCCAATCATGCTGAGGACAGGGTAGCCCTTTCAGCCTGAGATAGAGGTAAGAGCTCTCTGGTGGCTGGTTACTTTGCTTCTCTGATCTTCAGTTTGAACCCCAATATCTATCTCTGGGTTTTTACTTTTCGTGTTACAGGGAGAACTATTTTCCCTCTGTCAACATTCCTTGTAGTCTTGCAGTCTTGCAGACCTCTGTGAGGTTTCTGCCTTTCCATGTTGTTAGCATGTCTACTCGTGTTATATTTGACCATGTCCTGTTTTAACAGCAATATTGTTGAGGTGTCTTAAGTGAAGCTTCCCTAGGGCAGTATCATGGCAGCTTTCCTGGTCTTTTGCTTCTTGAGTGATATTTGTCTTTTTTAAACTGCAGTGGGCATGTTATGGATTTAGAATTACCAAAAAAGATCCTATTATTTGTGAAAGGGATGCTATATTTGTACAAAATTTCAGAAGCTATTCTCTCTCGTTGAGGCCTAGACTGGATTGGAGATGATTCAGGGGTGCTGATGATGGGATGTGGGCATTTTGCCCCTCACCAAGCCATGTTCATGTCAGACAAAACCAACTGTGGACTAGTTGGCACCAGGGGCAGGGGATGAGGTATACTCTGGGAACTGACACTTACCATGTACCCTGTGTCTACACAGAAAGTTGCAGGCTAGTCAAGGTCATGTAGTAAGAGTCACAAACAAAAAGGGCAACCTTTACAGTTTAGAAAACAGTGACAACATATATCACAATCCAATCATTTTATATGTATATTCATATAGTAAAAAGATGAAATGATGAAATAGAATAGAACATTATCAGAAAAAAATCATGGTTAATAATTTTCTGTTGGGAATGGGAAAAGATATTCACCAACCCCACATCTGACAGAGGGCTGATCTCCAAAATTTACAAAGAAATCAAGAAGCTAGTCCCAAAAACACCAAATAATACAAATAAAAAGTGGGGTCCAGGACTAAATAGAGAATTCTCAATATTCTAAAATGGTTGAAAGACACCTAAGACAGTGCTCAACATCCTTAGCCATCAGAGAAATGCAAATCAAAACCACTCTGAGATACCAGCTTACTCCTGTCAGAATGGCTAAAATCAAAACCATCAATGCCAGTTTATGCTGGAGAGGAAGTGGAGAAAGGGGAACACTCCTCCACTGCTGGTGGGAGTGCCAACTAGTACAGCCACTTTGGAAATCTGTATGGCGATTTCTTCAGGAAAATGGGAATCAGTCTACTACAAGATCCAGCAATTCCACTCTTAGGCATATTCCCAAAAGAAGCACATTAATACAACAAGGGCATCTGTTCAACTACGTTCATAGCAGCACTATTTGTAATAGCCAGAACCTGGAAGCATCCTAGATGCCCCTCAACTGAAGAACAGATAGAGAAAATATGGTACATTTACACAATGGAGTACTACTCAGTGAAAAAACAACAACAACAAAACGGAATCTTGAAATTCGCAGGCAAATGGATGGAACTAGAAGAAACCATTCTGAGTAAGGTAACCCAGTCACAAAAAGACAAACATGGTATGTATTCACTCATATATGGATTCTAGACATAAAGCACAGGATTACCAGCCTACAATCCATACCGCCAGAGAGGCTAGGAAACAAGGAGGACCCTAAGAGAGGCATACATGGTCCCCAGGAGACAAGATCTCCTGAGCAAATTGAGTGATGGGGGGAGGGGAGAGGGAACTAGGAGAATGAGAAGGGGAGGTGGGGAGAGGAGGACATGCGGGAAGGTTGAGTGGGGGGAAAACAGAAGAGAGCAAAATAAGAGATAATATAATAGAGGGAGACATTATAGGTTTAAAGAGAAATCAGGCAGTAGGGGAATGTCTGGAGAGCTACAAAGGTGGCACCAACTAACAATCTAAGCAACACAAGAGAGGCTACCTTAAATGCCCTCTCCTGATTGAGATTGATGACTAATTTATATGCCATCCTAGAGCCTTCATCCAGCAGCTGATGGAAGTTGAAGTAGAAGTAGACACCCACAGCTAAACACTGAAGTGAACTGGAATCCAGTTGCAGAGAGGAATTTATATGCCATCCTAGAGCCTTCATCCAGCAGCTGATGGAAGTTGAAGTAGAAGTAGACACCCACAGCTAAACACTGAAGTGAACTGGAATCCAGTTGCAGAGAGGAAGGAGTGATGAGCAGAGGGGTCCAGACCAGGCTGGTGAAACCCACAGAAACAGCTGACCTGAGCAAAGGGGAGCTCATGGACCCCAGACTGATAGGTGGGCAACCAGCATGGGACTGATCCAGATCCCATGAAC